AGGCAGCAAGTCAGAGATGTGGCTCCAAGGGTATATTTGAATAGTTGGAAAGAGAAGCTGAGAAGAGTTTCTATGAGATGCGTGTCCCCTACCGGGGACATTCATTGATCTCTATGCCACTCTGCCTCAAAGCTTACAAATTGCATGTGTGTACACGTGTGTAGTCTTCCCCCAACTTGGTAGACAGGGACAAGCCTGTTATCCCCTGTAAGAACAACGGGCTGGCTGGTTTGGTCTACAAAGATGGTTCCTTTTATCTAGGCACTGGTGGGGCACCCCTGCAATGCTAGCTGCTCCAGAGCCTGAGATCCGAGTATTGCAGTTCAAGCCAGCCTGGGCAGAAGTCTGTGAGACTCATCTCTAATTAACCAGAAAAAAACAGGGAGCTGTACCTCAAGTAGTAGATTGCCAGCCTTGAGTGAAAAAGTGAAGGGACAGTGCCCAGGCTCCAGTACTGGCATACATGCATGTGTGCATGCACACACACACACACACATACACACACACACACACACAAAATCTGTTTATACCTCCTGTATGGAAAATTACCCCTCCACTAAGTCACAGACCTGGAGCACCTCTCTTAGTGTTAAATAGTGCAACCCCCATGCCTGGACTCCTCCAGAACAGCCCCTGGAAACAGTGACAAGGAAGACATGAAAAGCTGCTCAGAAGGCCCTGAGCGCTTAAGCCGTGCTGAGCACCCTGCAGACTTGGGAGAGGCCAGGAGCTGCCTGAGGAGCGGGCTCTCAGGGCCTCTGCCCCCCCTCTAGCTTGCCTGCTGTGAAGGGGCAAAGGGGGGGAATGCAGCCCCAGACCCTCACAGGCCATGTACCCCTCTTTGTGCGGGAGCATCAGCCGGCCACCTGTTGTTAATCTAGCCTGGTAATCCATTCTGCACTGTGTCAGCAGTTCAAAAGGGCACTGTTAGTATTTTTTGCCGACTTCAATTAACGTGAGATTTCAGAGGCCCCTCTGATCACATTTCATCTGTCATAAGTCAGGAACAAAACAGACAGATTCCAGTTGAGAGGAGGAAGGAGAAGGAGTTTATTGCAAACAACAACAACCAAACAGACAGTCTGGGCTGTGCCCAAGAAAGGGGGTGCTGGGAGCACCCACAGGGACTGTGGCATTTCATCCTGCATCCCCGTCCCTAACCCCCCCACCTCTCCCCCTCCCCCCAAAAGATGTAAGTGCAATAACTTACTTTAAAACGTAAGAACGTTCCTTTCTTTCTTTCTTCTTCTTCTTTTTTTTTTTTTAATACTTTGCTATAATGTAGTTACATGGTGGTAGAGGCCATCAAACTTTATGGAAGCGACCTCATTTTTCTTTACATTTTTTTCTGAATTTTAAGTTTTTTAATATATATATTTAATATTCCACCCCAGGCCATTAAGCTAAAGGAAAAGTTGCAATTATACAGGGTTAAAATATCTTACAATAAGAACAGCAAGTACTGGTTGAGGTTCATGTTCCATTTTGCACTCGGCTCTCTCTCTCTCTCTCTCTCTCTCTCTCTCTCTCTCTCTCTCTCTCTCTCCAAGCACTGCACAACCAAACAGGTTATTATACACTGAAAACTGTCCTTCAAAATCAGTAGTATAAAGATCTAGAACTATAGGCAAGGGTGAAGAGGAGAAGGAAAGGGAGAAAATACGTTCAATGGATTGGGAGAAAATACGTTCATTGGGTTGATAGTGTCCAATGGGAATGGCTTCCCTCCCTTGGCTAATGGAGCCTTGGGAAGTAAGTCTTCTTTTCTAATTGGATGGTCATGGAGTATTAGGTGTCTGAGGACCAGATTGTCAGCACACTCTCTTCCTACCACACCCCATCCCCATACACTGGGCTGTTTGCCTCGATGCCTGAAGGGCCATCCCAGAGCCCTGGAGCCCTGGATGACAATCTCACCAAGGATATCCCAGGGAGCAATGGCTGCTTATGTGGTACACAAGATGGTTTCCATGGAAACATTCCTTTGCCTACCCGCAGGATGATGAGAGCTAAGGCACCAGAGCTGGGTCCTCCTCACTCTTGCTCTCTCGCATTCTATACCCGCAGTTGCCCTGCTTCTCAAAGCTGGTTGTGAGAGCTGAGAGTCAAGTACAGATAGAAGAATTCAAGGAAAGTTATGAAAACCCATGTCCTCCATCCCAGTACCATTCCAGATATGGGGTCAAGTCTGTCTGTCCAGAGCCTTGGCCCCCATGCCTGGGAGGCAGCACATTAGTGTGTGGCCTCGACGTGCTGGGTCATGATCCAAGCAAGGAAGGACTAGATAGGGGCCTGTCAGGGCTGGGCAGACCCACTCCGCAGCTGATGACCATTGCTTTGTTGTTCAGTGGCATCTCTGAACACATAACCAAAGGAAATTCTCTATTTTCTCTGTTTATCTGCCTAGCAGAATCTCTTTCGCCTGATTTCAGTAGCCACAGAGAGCTCCAACAACCACCCAGCATCCTAGGGGCTGCTAGGGGAGACAGCAAGCAAAAAAGGATCCAGAGAGAGCCATAAGTTCTCTTGTGGAAAACTAAACACAGCTGAATTGATGGAGGAAGGCTCTGGGCAAGCTCTGAGAGACCCGTGTCACAGCGGGTGCCAGCCGAGGCCCAGGGCCTTGGTGGTAAGCCTGGGGTCTTGTCTCAGCACAGCCTCAGGAAATTCACTCAGGGCCTAGTGATTGGAGTTAGGCAGGCCTGGAGGGTGAGGACAGGAATGGACGATGCCCAACCTGGGCATGCGTGGCTCCCTCTGAGAGGTGACAGGGCTATGTTTAAAACGGACACTTGCACAAAACCTTCTGCTAATGGAGGACTTTCCTTCTCAACCACTTTGGGTTGAAATTTGCCTGTCTTGACTCTATCCTGGCCAGAAATCAAACATAGAGGAATAAAGCAGCAGGGAATCCCTTCTCTAAAAATCTAACCAAACCTTCCCTCTGGTCCTCCTCTTCCCTAGCTTTCCTGGTCTTCTAGTTCATTGTTCTGATTCTCTCACATGTGAGAAACAACCGTGGTGAGATTTTCTCTCACACCTACCCTTCCCCAGCCATGAAGACACTTAGGAAGGGTGCTGGGAACCGCTCTGGCCTTGAGTTCTTCCTTCCCTGTGCTGGATTCTGGGGAGAACATGCTAATTCAGTGAGTCTCAGAACTAAAGAAAGATTCCCCAAGCCCCTCAAACAGTTCAAACACTTGGTAGCCAAGGCTTTGGGAACATTTAACATTTAATATCCAAGACCCTTTCCTCTCCCTAAGATCAACCTAAGAGCTGTGGTCCACAGAGAGGTCTATGAAACCAGCCAAACCCAGGTCCTTCCCCAGTTTTGTTCCAGAGCAGATCAGAACACCAGCCCAGGGGATGATGACACACCTTTGCCTACCTGGACCTTGAGCAGCTCTGGGGCAGGGGCCATCAGATATGTCAAGCTTTCTCCAGGCCCAACCTGGGAGGCCATTCCATGTCCAGGACCCCGAGTCTCATGCTTTTTCCCTTCCCCACTGACATGAACCAAGGTAGAAGGTGGAGAAGGCCTGCCCATCTTGGCGAGGGGCACCTGCAGGAGGGATCTAGCTCAAGGTGGCTCTGTTGCTTTTAGTGCTGGGAGGGCTGGGGTTGCTGCCAACGTAGCGTTGGATCAAGTCAGATAATTGGGGTGGGAGTGGGGGAACTGGCTTTGGAAAGGTTGACCCAGAGAAGATTACAGCTTACTTATGAGTCCTTCCAGAGAACAGAGGGGACAGAGACTCTGGCCCCTGCGGAAGAAGCTGAAAGAGAGGCTCTACAAGGGCCTGGAGAGCTATAGGAGAGCAGCCTATCCCCCTAGCCTAGATGGGCATAAGCTCTATACCATGCCAGGCTCTGGGCAGAGGGGTTCCAGAGGTGTGGCCCAGGGGCAGTCAGTCTGAGACCATCCTATTTGGAAGCCAAGCATAACCACATATCCTCTAGCACAGCTTGCCCGCTACTCTTGAGCCCTACGCTGGGACCCTGAGCCTTAGCTTGCTTATTCCACGTTGTACATCCTGCCACTCCAGGACACTGCTAAGCAGTTCCAAATGAGTGACAGGGCTCAGAGAGGAAGGGCCAAGTGCCCCAGATCCTCTTGAAGGGACCCTACAGAAGCCACAGAGCACAGCTGCTCAGATCTCCCTCGTGGTGCCCCTCCTGGCCCCCGGGGCCCTCCCTGCAGTCTTCTTCCTCCTAGGGCTTATCCACTTCCAGCACCATGGAGTCCCGGGGGGCCGTGCTCTTAGCTGCCCTCACCCCTGGCTCTTCTCCTGCAGTGTCCACAGATACCAGAGTCTCGAGGTCCATGTCCT